AAGAACACAGTGAAAAAAGGAATATTTAAAAGTCTATTTAAATGGAAAAAGAAAGCTACGCAATCTAAACCAAACAATACTACCGGTACTTCTCGACCCAGTATTGATTCGCCAGTAAATTCGCCAGTAACTTCACTAAATTCACCCAGTCAAGTTCTTCATGAATACCACGTTCTTCGCGTTTTTGCTGGTCGAAATTTGCCAACAAATTTCCAATATAAAATTATATTGTTGAATAAAAATGCAACGACAACATCACTTATAAAACAATCGATACAACGGTTTAAATTAGATGATGGAAATTTTGATAATTATTATATTTCCATAAAAGAAATAAATAAAGATGAAAAATATTTAATGCCTGATCAACGTCCGTTCGAAATTTTATCCTCATTAACCTCATCCCATTCAATGCCATTACCATCTGTTCAGAGATCATCCATTTCTTCGAATCTTTCAGATGATGAAACAATCAGGAAACTACAATTACATGATAGTCCAAATACTGTTTGTTTATGCTTAAACAGAAAAACAAAAATCGGTGAAAAGAAATTGCGTGTTCGTGTCCTTATTTATCCGGACGATTTACCCGTTCGTCTTCGACCAACTAAAGTAGCAGAGACTCGTGTATCTATGTCTGTGCCTAAACATCTTGCTGAAAAAGCTGCAAGAAGACGATCGAAAGAAGAAGCAAAGGCTAAAGAAAAATCCTTGATCGTAACTGCAAATGCAACCGTTAGACAGGTTATAGAAAAGGCTTTGGACAAAAATGGTATCAACGAAGGCATTGTTGATGATGGTGGAATATACGAGGATGAAAAACTACGATATCAACTTATGATTATAGTCGACGGTGAAGGTAAAAAGCAAATATATATATATGTATATTTCTTGAAATTAATAGCCTTCGATTCTAACGATTCTAATATATCTTTTTGATGTACAGAAAAATTTATTGATCCGAATGCTAACATAATTTCTGTCTATCAATCACCGCCGGACCTTCGTCATTTCTCAATGGATTCTATAGATTCACAATCATCTATGTCATTAGATTATCGTCCTGACGAGTCTATATTTGTTTTAAGACTTTTAAGACAAGAAGAACGGCAGCAACGCGCAATGCCATCAGCTGAAGAAGTAAGACGTTATACTCAAGATGTTAGAATGATGGAAGTAAATAATCAACATGTAAAAGATCAAGAGGATGAATTTTCGAAAAAACAGCTTATTGAACAACAACGTCAATATAGTCAAGCAAAACAAAAATCCATTATTTCTGCACGGAAAAATCAAGAACAAGGTGTCGATATTGTTACTGACATGGGTGCTATTCGGAGTTCACGTGTTTTTGGAAATAGAGTACGCTACTCTTTTGTTTCAACAGGAGGAGATACGATTGATATTAGTAAACTCATTGAAGATATGTGGGGTGATGATGAATTATTGAACATAAATGATCCTTCAAATGATCAATCGCAATTAGACCAAAACGATGAATCCGCAGATTTATTAACAATTAACGCTAAAAAACAAAGACGGAAAAGTACAACACAAGAGGTTGATATTTTAGAGAAATTAATGATTAACCAAAGTGGTGAAGAATTAATGGATGATAAAATTGTACAAGTATTGAAACAGGTTAAGGCTGGTCAGTATGAAAACGGTGATGTTCCAAGCATTACTTCTGCACTTCGGAACAGACGAGAAAATAATATTAATGATAAAAATGAACCACCATTAACTTCACAATTTCAACAAGATATGACTGGTGGCTTATTACCTAAAACTAACAATAATAACTCATCGTTATTCAAAATCATGGATGAGAACCAAAGTATTATCGGATCAACTGCCTCCATTTTAGAAAATGATTGGGTATTATCAGATGATTTTGGATTGCAAGAGCTTTTAGTACTTGTTAGATCAGGAGTAAACATGTTGGAAATAAAGCAAAGGAGGAGAAGCGGATGGCATTTACATGATGATCCTGAAAAAATTCTTGAACGGATTAATCCTAAGGATATTAGAGATGAAATTAAATCGGTGTTTGAATGTGTAAATGATGAGCTTGATATGTTAGAGTCGGTAAGAGTCAATAATTTATATTTTTATGTTATTTATATGGTCATGTATTAATTTACTCGTATTTATAGGAATTGGATCGAATAATGAGCGATGCAATAAGGGTTTTTTAACATTTTAATTAGATATTAAATAATTACTGTATTATATATTCATTGTTATATATATATATATATATATGCTATAATTCGTTATATATTAATTTATTGACTAAGATTAAATAACACAAACTTGATCAGCTACGACGCTTTTTTTCTAGGTAATTTAAATCAATTTATTTTGATTGATAATATCTTGGGATTGTTTCATTATAAAAAAAGTTTCTCTAAAAAAGACTTTTACATTTATTTTATTTATAAGATTTTTATGACTATTATACATGTAATTTATATTTTAAACTCGAAATTACGCTTTTATTTAATTAAAGTCGAGACAATTCTATCGCACCTCATCAGCACCGATTTTCTGTGAATAATTATCTTCCTTCTCAATTGCTTGATATTCATCAACATCGGTAAAATGGAAAACATTTGTTCCTACTTTTTTTAGAATATTCGGTATAATAGCTATCGAAGTTGTTAATATTACAGTTACCCAAAATTCGCTCTTAATTGCATCTTGTTGAAATACTCCACGTACATCATAAGTTGCATTTTTCGTATCTATAGGGTAAACAAAGGAATAGATGGTTTGATACAAGAACCATCCAAATAATGTCAAAAATGATGTAACGTGTGTTATGACTGTCCAATTATGACACTCCAAATATGCTATCTTGAATGTAACCACAAACACTACACATGTATATACCACTAATCCAAGCTCATATAGTTGAGGTGATCCAAAATTTCTGAGTTCATACTTACAAAGGATGTCATGTAGAATAAATGGTACCATAACTATCACAAGAGCATGAATAATTGCGTCACTCATCCAAGAAAAGAAAATTTTTATATTAAAGGCAGTGTTATATTGTCCTTGGGTATACAGTTCCGGAACTTCTAATAATGTTTTATAGTTTAAATCTTTCTCAAACATTCCGATAACCATGACGGGCAATGATGAAAATAATGTATTATAAAATGAAAGAGTCCATTGCTCATATAAACTAGTTCCAGAGAATCCAGTGAAAAGTTGAAATATTCCTTGCGTAAGGTAAAAACACATACATTTATAAAACGTTCCTAAAATGAATTTTGACACTCTTATGTAAGACCATCTACCATGTACGAACAATAAATTGCTTAAAAATCTAAATTGCGCTATCGAATAATCACTTGTTCTTGCAGCCTGTAACCCTTCTCTACCTGCAATTCCAATTCCAACATGTGCTTCCTGAATCATTGCAATGTCATTGGCCCCATCTCCAATTGCTAGCGTTACTGTACCAGTTAATTTCTCTCGAATTTTTCGAACTACCAAAGCTTTTTGTGATGGACTTACACGACAACAAATAACAGAATCACATAGAATTCCCAATTCGACAAATTTTTCCATAAGTGCGGCTTCTTGTTCGATTACCATCAGCGTGGCACCATCAACAACTGCTACAGCATGTTTTCCTATTTTACAATTAATATGTTCTAATGCCTGACTTAGGGTCAAGTCAAGGTCAAAATTTTGATCTATAATTATGGTAGTAGAGTAATTCTTGATTAAAGAACAAGAATATCCAATATTAATCGCGGTTTCTCTCTTGTCACCAGTCAACATCCATATTCTAATTCCTGCTCTACACAATTTATCGATGGTTTTTGGAACTCCATCTTGCAATTTGTCTTCAATCGCTGTAGCGCCAGTGATCTCTAAATCTCTTTCAATTATTTCCGCAATCTGCTCTATTTGTTTTTGACGATCCACCATAGTGGTTAAAGCCTCTTGATATAATTTATTCCATTCATTATATTCATCCTCTTCTAGATATCGATGTCCATAAAGTAAAGTTCTTAATCCTTCGGTCGCAAATTGCTGAATATGAAGCATGGTTTCGTTATAAAGGCATCTTTCATCATACATCGAAGAGGGATCAACCATTGAGTGCTCAAGATATATTGTCGCACTATATCCTTTATTTTCATTATTTAACGATCTCGGAGAAATATTTGTGTTATTTATCTTTAATCTCTCTATTATTATCGAATCTGCTCCTTTACAAAGCAGACATATTTTTCCATTAGGCAAACGATAAATAACACTCATTCTCTTTCTTTTGCTTGAAAATTCAATGACATTTAAAATTTGGTAGGTTTCATATGTTTTTGTTGCATTATTAGGATCTTTTAATCCGGAAAGACCATCGTTATTGATCAACAGAGAGACTGAGGACGTCGACCTATCCATAAAAACATATCCTAACTCTTTAGCAGCATTCACAAGAGCAAATTCATCAGGTGATGCAGCTTGATAGAATACATCATTTGTTGTTTGATCAATTTCAGGTACACAAGTGTGGCATAATGCAATAGCCAATAAAAAGAATCTCGCCTTTTCTCCGAACGGTGTATGAGATTTATGTTGAATGATGGACAGTAAATCAAATGTGGAACGAATGGTGGGATCCTTGTCTGTTTTTATAGATCCTATTGTGGTTTTGGACACTGAATCACGTTTATACAGTGGAGATGGACCAATAGTGGTCGGTGCAATCATTGAAAAACGCCCGCTAAGACTTGAATCTCTGCGTCTTGGAGATTCCGCGTTTTCAGAAATTTCAAGACTATCAAGCGTCCTATTACGAGCATGTTGTCCAACTGACGTGTAAGAAAATTTACTTTGTCCTTTTGTAACAGAATTTTGACGTTGATGAGACAATTGTGATAATTCATCCTTTTCTATATTAAACAAATCTATATCATGTACAAACGCTAGTCCACCAACACTAAACTTTCTAAATAACATTATGTTATCCGTGAGTGTTCCAGTCTTATCAGAAAAGATATAACTAACTTGACCCAATTCTTCATTGATTGTTGCTGTTCGTGCTTCAGCAGGAGTGTCGGTTTCCGCGTGATACATATTAATATCTTTGTTAATAAAATAAACTTGAACCAGTTTGACAATCTCCATGGTAACATAGAGTGAGATCGGAATCATGGTATTGAATAAGATAATAAACGCAAACAGAGATACATGCAACTGTCTTTCAACCCCCAAAGCGTACCAAGCGTTCTTCCAAAAACGCTCTGCCCAAATTTTCGACATTGCTGTGCAAAAGACTGACAAAAACATGACAAATATAAATATAATTATAACCACTTTATTAACCAATTGTTGTATCATAGGGGCTTTTGTTCGAATGTTTTTTGAAGCATTCATTCGAAGTTTTGTTTCTTCGCCAGTAAATATCACTAGTCCATATATCTCAGGAGTATTGCGTAAGATTGTACCACGTAATAAAATTTGATCATTTGAAAGCGCACATATTTTTCCATCGGGGAGCTCTATCGATCCATCAAAGTTATACAAGTCTTGATTTGGATTCTCAGTAGAAACTATAGCTATTGTTTATAATCAATCTTAGAAAATTTTATCTGATATTTCTCACTAATCACATTACATAAACCATACCTTTGAAACTAGCAAGAGCTTCTGGAGAAGTCAATATATTATTTGTATCCTTGAGTGCTTGCTTTTGCTTAAGATTAGTTTCACCATCTAAAGCAGCAGTCTCAACAAAGCAAATTCCCTTTTCACCTTTCGAATGCAATAACAATAAATCAGCGGGAACCCATTCTTGAGCTTTAACACTCACAAGATCACCAACACGTAAATTTCTCCATTTCGTTTTCCTCCAAACACCTAATCTTTGGGATGTCACATCATTTGGTCGATAAACATTTAATACCGAACATTCCTTGTTGTTTTCTATAGTATCCTGTTTGTGTCTCCGATAATCATCAAAGCCTTCATGAGCCATCGCTATTGTTATGAATACACTTAAAGGGATCAAAGTGGTGAACTGACCAGTAGGACTCCATCCGGGCACTGTCATACGCATCAGGGTACACAAGTTAATCGAAATAAAACATAAAAAAAAAAGGCTGATTATCAAAGTATAAATACATGCCACTCTGAATTATAGCAACAAAAAGGAAATATAGGTTAGCAATCTTTGAGAACTGAGCATAAAGTTGTTTCGGAAGAAAATTGAAGAAGGTGTAACGTGAAGTTCTTATAGAATTGCTAATAAATGGGGAGTTAGTTTTAGGGTCTATTAGCGGATCAGTACTCTCCGGAATGATTGGAATTTTACGAATGATGATATCTTCGTTAGAGCCAGTTACGATCGATGTTATTCTTTTTGCTGCATATTTAAGACTTTCTCGTTTCTGATTTAATGACTGATTTATTCGTTGGCTCAAAGATAGATTTCTAACATGTTTAGAAGCAGGCATTATACTGTCAACACTATGTCTTACAGAAGAAGTATTATTACTTGGAAGGTCTGGAGGAACAAGGGGCCACGTCGAAGATCGACGCGGGGTTAATTGCTTGGCATTTATTGTTAAATGATTAACATCGTCTAACCGATCATCGCTTGAAGATACAGTTGATTCTTTCAATTGGTCGATTTCATTTTTGAAATCGTTATTTGATGACATATTATTGTTCTGGACTATTAAAATATATCTTACAAAGATAGTTTAGTAAAAGCATTTATAGTTGATACGAAGTTTATTTAGCAAAAGCATTTATAGTTGTTACGAAAGTTTATTCAATATTAAACTTAGCATATATAGACAAGTATGCTTATTGCAATGAGTTAATAAGGATTATATGGATATTTAGGATAAGGAATAAAAGACGGGTGGATTTATCGTTGATTATTGCAATTGCAATTGACTTCCATGAATGGTGAAAGAGGCAAATTGATTATACACGAAGTACAAGTCACAAATAAAAAGTGAATGAGGTAAGTGACAACAACACAAAATCAGGAAAAAGGGAGAGTCATGTTAAAATAAGAGAAATGCGAAGCCCAGACTACTTAATATATATCGGTATGCACAAAAATTTAACAAAAAATTAATATAAAGTAAATGTGGGACACGCCCCAGATTAGGAAAAGAAACTTCTATAATAATCTTAGCGTGTTTATTTGTGTATATGTATGAGATCTAACGTAACATCTTGGTTATCATCTAATTTTGGAAAACGAATAATAATAAATCTGGGCTACACAATTGGCTTTCTTTCCTAATTTTTTTTTTTTTTTTTAATTTTTTTTTTTTTAATTAAATTTTTTTTATTAATAATTTATTAAACTACTGTAAAAACGATGAGCATGGACAAATATCGAGGTGAAACTTCTCGCCAATCTCCTGATCATGAAGATATTTCTTTGGCTCAAATAAATGATAGTCTTGCCAACTTGGACAAAATAGAAGATGAAGGTATCGAACTAATTAAATCAATAAACGAGCATCATGACAGAATACAGAACGGTAGTTTTGTTTGGTTTAGATTGCGTAGCTTTCTTTTTCCATTTAAATAGACTTTTAAATATTCCTTTTTTCACTGTGTTCTT